CGATCTCGGGGAGGCTCAGAGTCGGGTGACAGCAAAGCCGACGCTGGCGCTGGCGGCGATGTGGAGGCCGACGGTGATGCAGATGGCGCAGAGAGTTCCGACTCTTTGGATCTCCGGCCCTACTCGCTGCCTTCTGTACGGGAACTCTTCCGGGTTCTGGTCAACTTCTTGGACCCCAACGACCGGCAGCATACCGACACTATGAGAGTAATGGCATTGCGCATTATTCACGTTGCCCTCGAGGTTTCCGGTCCCTCTATTGCGCGGCACCCTGCTTTGGCTGGGATAGCCGAGGACAGGCTCTGCTGCTATCTCTTCCAGCTTGTTAGGTCGGACAACATGGCCATCCTGCAAGAGTCGTTGATCGTGGCCGGCACGTTACTAGCCACCTGCCGCGGTGTGTTGAAATTGCAGCAGGAGCTCTTTCTTTCGTATCTCGTTGCGTGTCTTCACCCGTCGGTAGAAATACCGCGAGAACCAGGCATTGACCCGTCACTGTACGCCGGGATACCGCAATCCCCCAAGCTTGTCAAGCCACCCCCATCGCAGACCAGTAGCGGCCGCTCGACGCCAGTCCCAGTGAAGGATCGGCAAAAACTCGGTCTTGAGGGTGGTGCCAGGAAACCAGACGCACGACAGGCCATGGTTGAGAACATTGGTGTACTGTCAAGGATGCCAACGTTCATGGCTGAACTCTTCGTCAATTACGATTGCGACGCTGATCGAGCGGACCTGTGCGAAGATATGATTGGCCTTCTCTCGAGAAATGCTTTGCCAGACTCCGCAACTTGGAGTACGACGAGCGTGCCGCCCCTCTGCTTGGATGCACTACTCAGATACATCCAGTTCATCGCCGAAAGGCTGGACGAGGCCCCGGTTGTCGATGGCTATCCCGACGCTACGGAGCTACGTGAGCTAAGACGGAAGAAGAAGATCATTATCAAGGGCACCAGCAAGTTCAACGAGAACCCCAAGGGCGGCCTTGCCTATCTCGAGGCGCAAGGAATCATCTCCGACCTCAAGGATCCAGTCGCGGTCGCTAGGTTTCTCAAGGGAACATCGCGCGTGTCCAAAAAGGTCCTCGGCGAGTATCTCTCCAAGAAGGGAAACGAGGCCGTGCTAGAGGCGTTCATGAGCCACTTTGACTTTTCAGAGAAGCGAGTGGACGAGGCGCTCAGAGGACTATTGGAGACATTCAGATTGCCTGGCGAGTCGGCATTGATTGAGAGAATCGTTGTCTGTTTCGCAGACAAGTACTGCTTGAAGGCGAAACCAACCGAGGTCGCCAACGCGGATGCGGTCTATGTCCTGACCTACGCCATCATCATGCTCAACACGGATCAGCACAACCCCAACCTCAAGAGTCAAAAGCGTATGACCGTGGATGACTTTGCACGAAACTTGCGGGGCGTCAATGACGGCCAAAACTTTGCGCCAGAGTATCTTCAGGATATTTTCGACAACATTAGAACCAACGAGATCATCCTGCCTGATGAGCATGACAACAAGCATGCGTTTGACTATGCTTGGCGTGAGTTGCTCGTGAAGTCGGAATCGGTGCGTCCGCTGGTTCTGTGCGAGACGAACATCTACGATGCCGACATGTTCGCTTCAACGTGGCGGCCCATCGTGTCCACCCTTTCTTACGTATTCATGTCGGCTACGGACGACGCAGTCTTTGCGAGAATCGTCACTGGCTTTGACGAATGCGCCCGTATTGCGGCCAAGTACAAAAATACGGAGGCTCTCGATCAGATCATCTACGCACTGAGCCACATGACAACCTTGGCTACTGACATACCCTTCAACACCAACTTGAACACGGAGGTCCAAGCTGGCGAAAGCAGTGTCATGGTTAGCGAACTGGCAGTCAAACTTGGAAGAGACTTCAGGGCGCAACTGGCGACTCTGGTGCTATTCCGGGTTGTCACTGGCAGTGAGGAATTAATCCAGGATGGTTGGAAACATGTAAGTCAACATCCTCCTGGGTCATCATGGCGGAAAAACTAACGAACACTAGATCACCCGCATATGGCTCAACCTCTTCGTCAACTCCCTGGTTCCTCCCTTCTTTGCAGATTCGCCAGTTCTGGACATTGGTCCGATACCGCTGCACACACCCTCTCAAGTGATCGATCGTGCTGCAAAGGCTGTCGATACGGGCTTCTTTTCTGCCTTTACTAGCTACATTTCCAGCTACGCAGCAGACGATCCTCCAGAACCTTCGGACGAGGAACTAGAAAGTACCCTCTGCACCGTCGACTGTGTCAACTCATGTCATATGGGCAACGTCTTTGCCAACATCTCGTAAGTCGATCTGCCCCTGGCCAGGCACAAATGCTAATCAGAGTCGCGCAGAAAACTCTCCCCTCAAGACCTAGAGCCGCTGATTGACTCCCTGCTCAACGCACTACCTGAAGATAACAACCCAACGGTGATTGTTGTCAAGTCGGATAATGTACCAGCAGCAACCATGAACGGCCAAAAGCCTGTGCAATCAGGAGCTGTGTACGACCCTGCCATGGCCTATATCCTTGAGTTCAGCACGGTCCTGGCTCTTCGTGACCAGGACACAGTCCAGCTTATAGCAAAGAGAGTCATCGAAGCACTGCAGGCCGTGCTGCGAGATGCTGGACGGTACCACTACATTGTTGTCTCGAGGGCAACCTTCTATCTCCTCAAGCTACTCCGAGTCAGCTATGTATGCCTGCTCTTTACCCCTGACATGTTCGTTTTCTCATTGACTGTGTTACAGGCTCATGATTACATCAACGTCCCGGTACTGTTGCACACGATCTCGAGCTTCCCCAAGGAAGCATTGGCAAGAACTTCGACCATGGTGCTCCAGGGCTTGAGACTGTGCATTGACGAACCCAGTCCACTACGCAACGAGATCATGACTTCTCCGGACTTCTGGGCAATCATGCGAGCACTTACGGGACGCCCAGATTCTGCACCTCTCGTTTTTGACATCCTCGAGTTAGGTTGCGGAGGCACACCACCAGCTATCATTGCCGACAACTACGAGGCGGCCATCTCTCTCTTCGGCGACTTTGCGTCCGGGGCAGGTCGGATTGTCCTTGCAGAACGCAAGCTAGATGCTCAGCAGCGTAAAGCCCGAGAGGGGACGCACGACAAGACGACGTGAGTAATTCACAGGGCCTTTGCCATATTGCAAGTTACTGACGGCCAGCAGTGTCAATGAGGCAATCTCACGAGGTACCAAGGCGGTCAATAGCATTCACAATATGACAGCGCGCATACCTTTCTTGATGAAGCAGTCCCATCTTGAGAGTAACGAAGGTAATACTCTCCACCAGAACACATGAGTAACAACGACTAACGCAATGTTACAGCATGGTCCGCTTACTGGCTGCCTATTTTCCAAGCATTAACAACGCAATGTACAAACCCATGCCGCGATGTTCGCCTCCAGGCGTTCACGTCGCTGCAGCGATCCCTGCTCTCGCCTGAGCTCACTGACAGTGACCACAAGGAGTGGACGGCCATCTTTGGCGAGGTTCTGTTCCCTCTCATCCACAAACTTCTTAAGCCTGAAGTCTTTTCGTCAGACCGTGACGGCATGAGCGAGATGCGTGTTCAAGCTGCGTCCCTGCTGTGCAAAGTGTTCCTTCAATATCTTGTCCTCCTCTCAGAGTGGGACGGAATGCTGGATCTGTGGGTCAAGATCATTGACATCATGGATCGGTTGATGAATAGCGGTCAAGGCGACAGCCTGGTACGTTGATATGAAGAGTCCTGGGCCTTACAGGAGAAATTGCTAACAGTACATAGGAGGAGGCAGTTCGTGAGAACCTCAAAAACGTGGTGCTTTTCATGGCAAGCAGCGGCTTCTTAGTGTCTCCCAGACAAGACGCTTCGAAAGAAAAGCTATGGAACGAGACTTGGAAACGGATCGACCGTTTCCTTCCAGAGCTGAAGAGTGACCTGGCCTTGGAAGAACCAAGTAGTGGAGAAGAGCCGGCGCCAGCGGCTGGTACGACTGCCTAGAGGTAACTTCTCGTGAGGTGCCTGGGTGTGAATGCCGAAAGTTGAGGTGACTTTTTACGTGTACATATATGGCAACTGGGGGCAGCATGGGTTAGGTATTCATGATGGTCAAGATACTGGGCCATATCGGCATTTGATGCATGCAGTAGGATGTCACGTTGATGTCTACCCACAGGGTATCATTGAAAAGTGCTTTTTGTGAATGGACGGGGAAGTCAAAACGCAGTTGGGCTGCGTTATACGTATGTAATCGTGGCCAAGTGCAGTGTATCACCAAGATCCAGCATAGAATAGACAGACATTCTTTGTCCCTTCTACAAGCTTTCACGTCCTTGGCACAATAGTTTGAGAATACGAACACTGCGATGCTGCGAAGGCAGAGCTCTCGACACACAACACCACTTCTCCACAGCAGCTGCACGATGGGCCAAAAGTAACCTTATCTTTGAGAATGATAGCAAAACTGAGGGAAGAACGGCTGTCAAAAATGCAAAACATACAACACCAGGTATTCGCTGGTCGTCACCGACCCAACTACTAATCCGGCCCTCATTGGCTTATCTATGGGAGAGCGGACGGGATCCCGAGTTTTCCAATGGGTATGGTCGTATGTGACAATTGTAGAGCTGAATGTGTCTATATTCCCAGATGAGCTAGGTTACAGTCCCACAAAGAAGGCCATGAAGGATCCACCGGAGCCAGGGTAAAGATTTCTAGTCTAGCACGATACCATGCATCTTCTCAGGTGCTGGTCAATAGTCTACTTACTAGGTAGTTCCGATGTCGTGAAGAGTCAACAGAGATTGCTCAATAGTTGCGCAACAAGAATAAAGTGAAGCTGGTTGATAGCTTGATGTTGAAGTTGAAAGTGAGAGGTTGCGCGCGTCACTACGCAGGCCGCAAGGTACCCACATAGCCCGCGCCCAAGGTACACGCCTTAGGCCACTAAAACTTACCGCAACACTGTGCACAAGCCAATCTCAGTCTGTCACTCGACTTGAACATTTCCACCTCCCTCATCTTCCCTTTCACTCTTGTTTAGAGCCCGCCTACACAACCGTAGACATGGCTTCCGGTCTTCCCATCGCCACGTACGTGTCATTGCACTTCGACACGTCGGGCCATTGGCTGACCTTTTGTGCCACAGGGTATACGTACGAAATCTTGAGGAGCGCGCCAAAGTCGACCAGCTGAAGGATGCGCTGCTACAGATCTTCTCCGATTACGGCAATGTAATTGATATTGTCGCCAAGACGAATCTCAAGGCAAAGGGCCAGGCTTTTGTCGTCTTTGACGATCCCGAGTCTGCGCGCAAGGCCATCGAGGAGGTTCAGGGATTCGAGCTTTTCGAGAAGCCTATGCAGCTGGCTCTAGCCCGGACAAGGAGCGACGCGACTGTGAAGTCGGTAGGCAACGACGACGAGTTTGAGCTTCACAAGCGCCGCCGCCTGGCTGAGAAGGGTACCTCCATTTCCCCGTTTATGCTACCTTCCCTCGCTGCTTTGAACCAGAACGGCTTGCTGACGCTACCCTCTCATCACCAACAGACAAGAAGAAGGCGCTCGAGGCTGCCGAGGAGCAGAAACGTCTCAAGAGACCTGGCCCCGGCGGTGCGGCGGCAACAGATGCTCGCCCTGCCAAGGCTGCCCGTGGAACTGGTCTCAAGTCCACTAATCCCTCCACTACAGCTGTTATTCCCGACGAATATCTGCCCCCGAACAAGATTCTCTTCGTACAGAACTTGCCCGACGACTACGACATCGAGGCTGTCACCAGTATCTTTGGCCGTTTCGAGGGTTTCCGTGAAGTCAGATTAGTGCCTGGACGCCGCGGTATTGCCTTTGTAGAATACGAGGGTGAGCAGGGTGCCATTACGGCCAAGGAGAACACGGCGGGCATGGTGCTGGGGGACACGCACACAATCAAGGTCACATACCAGCGCCAGTAAGATGGTCGATGGAGATGAAGGCATTAGCCTCAATTCTGTTAGCATGTAGAGAGGTAATAAATGTGTTCCTGAAGGGTACTAATGTTTACAACGAGTGCGTACCCAATCAAAGCTACCTTAGTCTAACAACACCACGCACGACGCATGCTTGATCGCCACCTCTCAATACGTGCCGCAAGGACTGCTTAGAAAATAACGTCGTTGTCTTCCTCCGCAGCGAGAAGGTCGCCGGGGCCTGACGTGTCCCCCTTCTCTTCTGCTGCCCGTGCGGCCTTTTTGGCCTTGATCTCGGCGTCTGCGGCAGCAGTGTCTCTCTGTTTCTTTCCGGCAACCTGCAGTGCACTGTGAGAACTTGCCATCAAGATCCAATGGCTCTCTACGTACCTTTTTGAGTCTGTAGAACTCCTCTCTGTCAAGTTCGTCCAGCTCCGAGTTAATGTCTGTAGTCAAAGTTAGTTAAGATTTCCCAAAGTCAGGTATACAACATACACTTGATCGTGTTTTCTGTCCTGGGAATGATAACGTGCTCGCTGGTGAAATGGTCAGTGGGGAATCACCAAGATGATCTCGCAGGCATCTTACATGGCGTTTACTGCAAGATATTAGTCAGTGGCTAAGAGTTCGGCATTGGTTCAAGTACATACCACGTCGATTGACGACCTTGATAACCTCATCCAAAATAACGAAAGCAGTCTTGGCACTGTTAGCGCTTCTGCAATGTCCACTGGAGACGCAGCTGACGGCGGCGTACCTGGAGACTGGCGAGCTCGACCAGAGCTTCAACAGCACGGGCATATGTCTCGCGACAACGCTGCACCTGCTGACCACCCTTGCCCAAGCCCGTGAGGCCGAAATCATTGTTTCCTTCAGTTACGTAGCTCTCGAATGCCGGCAGTAAAACACCGGAAACGTTCTCCTGCTTGGTACGCACGCGGAAGCGAGCTGACCGGGCCGACTCCTGGATCTGGTATCCGATATCACCGCCCACAGCGTAAGTGACCTCGGCCAAGGAGAAGGAAGCAATCTGCATCACGCGTCCCATCTTTCTCTTCGCCTCGTCGATACGTCTTGTAATCTCTGTTCAGAGCGCAGTCACATCGGTCAGCGCACATTCGTCTCGTACGGGAAGCGACAATGCCAACCTCGGAATCGCCTGTATCGCGGAACAAGTCAGTGGACCAAGTCATACTGCAAAATACAGGCCATTGCATACGTACTTGGTCAAGGCCTCGCTCTTTCTTTTCAACAGACTGTGGCCAGTCTCGGCGCCTTTGAGCTTGGCCTTCATGATACCCAGCGACTGGCGCGTGGGGAACACCGCTTCTCGGTCCTACACAGATGCATCGACATATTAGAAAGCTCCGTGGTCGACTCTGAATGATGTAGGAGGGCTTCGGCCTACAGGAGCACCCGACATGATGATAGCTGATTGAAACGGGCGATGGTATAGTTTGGACTTGGAATCGAAAGAGGATCGAAGGGGAGGTTCGAGACGATCCGCGCGGCAGCGAAGAGCGGAGGCAGTTGGGCGCAAGACGGTCGTCCACGATACAGTCGGCAAGGAGGAGCTGGAGATGTTGTTAGGCGGCTTTTGGCTGCTGTTGCGTCAGTGCTCAGAGCCGGTTCAGCGATGGGACCCCAAGGTGGAAGTACCTACCTCAAGCGGCTCCCCCCAGAGATGGAGTCGGGTACCTGGTGTAAGGTAGGTGGATCGCTGGCGATTAGTAGTCCACTGATAAAGCTTGAAAGTGGGCTCTCTTTATCCGCGCGGAAGAGTCTCACGGTCGCTAAAGCCGCGCTATATCTTCATTGCGATATCCTTGTATCGGTGGCTGAGATTCCCGCTCAGCTTATCCCAATAGCCGAGCGTCAACCCAAAAATCCAGGACGGGGCGCATGCAAGAAAAAGTACCTTGGTTGGTTGACCTTGCCAGACTGCATCATAAAGGACCGGTCTGTCGCCTAGTTCGCGCCATGATCATCTTTTGAAATCGCGCCCCCGGAAGTTGCGAATTCGTCCCCAACGCGACCTGCACACGGCGAAAAAGGCGCTCTCTGCGCTCGAGCTGTCAGTCTCTTGGTCACTCATGGCCCCCGGGCAAACGGCCTGAACCAATATGCCTGCTCCCACGCTTCTCAACGGCTCTCAGAGGCGGCCGGAACTGCACCTCGTTGTATGCGCCGCCTATCCTCCTACTTGCCCTATCTGCCTTGCCAGTGTTAGAGATAGAAGCTGATAATACCTGATAGAGCGACGAGGACTCCGTGTACGAACAGGACATCCTGCGAAACCCGGGAAGCATCAAACCGTGGCTTGCCTACATTCAGTTCAAGTCTCAACATGGAACCGTACACGAACGCGCTTTCGTGCTCGAGCGAGCCTGTCTCCAACTCCCCCGGTCTTACAAGCTATGGAAGATGGTAAGTCGCGAAGAGCAAGCCAGCTCGCGGGCCACCGCCGCCGATTGCTAATTGTACGGGTAGTATCTTGCCTTTCGCACCAAACACGTTTCGAAGCTGAATGCTGCCATTTTCCCCGCCGAGTACCGAAAGGTCAACGCCTTGTTCGAGCGCGCGCTCATTCTGTTGAACAAAATGCCTCGCATCTGGGAGCTGTACCTGAAGTTCTTGCTTCAGCAGCCGCTGGTCACGACCACCCGACGCACTTTTGATCGAGCCCTTCGCGCCCTGCCGCTTACCCAGCACAATCGAATCTGGGCCCTCTACAAGCCTTTCATCAACTCTGCCGCAGGAATCAGCGCCGTCAAGGTGTGGCGCCGCTATATGCAGATACATCCCGAGGACGCCGAAGACTTCATCGAGCTCCTTGTACAGGTCGGCTTCTACACTGAAGCCATCAAGAAGTACATGGACATCCTCAACAATCCGCGCTTCACTAGCAAGCAAGGGAAAGGGCACTATGAAATGTGGAGCGAAATGGTGGACTTGATGGTCGAGCACGCGGCGGAGATCGAAACCGGCCACGAAACGGGTATTGACGTTGACAGGATCGTCAGAAGCGGCATTGTCCGGTTCGCCGATCAACGAGGGAAACTCTGGTGCGGCCTAGCGACTTACTGGATCCGACGAGGCAGCTTCGAGCGCGCCAGGGATGTGCTCGAGGAAGCCATCACCACGGTTATGACGGTCAGGGACTTCACGCTTGTTTTCGATTCTTACACCGAGTTTGAAGAGTCCATTATTGGAGCTTTGATGGAGGTAGCCTCGGACCGTGCCGACAACGGTATCGTGGACGAGGAGGCAGATTTCGAACTCGACATCCGGATGATGCGGTTCGAGCAACTCATGGACAGACGTCCATTCCTTCTCAACGACGTGGTCCTGCGCCAGAACCCCAACAACGTGTCTGAGTGGGAGAAGCGAGTAGCGCTCTGGGGCGACAACCATCTCGAAGTCGTTCAGACATACACAGCCGCCATCGCCACGATACAACCGAAGAAAGCTGTCGGGGCCTTCCATCAGCTTTGGGCCAATTACGCCAAATTCTACGAGCGTGGTGGTGACATACGCAATGCGCGCATCATCATGGAGAAAGCCGTCAAAGTCCCATTCAAGTCCGTTGCGGAACTAGCTGATATGTGGATTGAGTGGGCCGAGATGGAGTTGAGGAACGAGAACTTTGACGATGCCGTACGAATCATGGCCAAGGCTGTCCAGGCGCCGAAGAGATCCACAGTCGACTACTTTGACGAGACGCTATCGCCGCAGCAGCGTGTGCACAAGAGCTGGAAGCTGTGGAGTTTCTACGTGGACCTCGTGGAAAGTGTCAGCTCTGTGGAGGACACACGAAAGGTCTACGAGCGCATTTTTGAGCTGCGAATCGCGGCACCGCAGACAGTGGTCAATTATGCGAATTTGCTGGAAGAGCACCAGTACTACGAAGAGTCGTTCAAGATTTACGAACGTGGCCTGGATCTCTTCAGCTACCCGGTTGCCTTTGAGCTGTGGAATCTCTACCTTACAAAGGCTGTTGATCGCAAGATCGGTATTGAGCGCCTGCGCGACCTTTTCGAACAGGCCATTGAAGACTGCCCACCCAAATTCGCCAAGGTCATCTACCTCATGTACGGCAACTTGGAAGAGGAGCGGGGCCTCGCGAGGCACGCTATGCGCATCTACGAACGCGCAACGCGTGCGGTGGCGGATGAGGATCGGGCAGATATGTTCAACTTCTACATCACCAAGTCAGCATCCAACTTTGGCCTGCCATCGACGAGGCCAATCTACGAAAAGGCCATTTCCACTCTACCCGACAACGAAGCGCGGGACATGTGCTTAAAGTTTGCCGACATGGAGAAGCGCCTTGGCGAGATCGATCGGGCGAGAGCCATTTACGGTCACGCGTCACAGTTCTGTGATCCACGCACCAGCCCAGCTTTTTGGACCAAGTGGGAGTCATTCGAGGTGCAGCATGGCAACGAGGACACGTTCAAGGAAATGCTCCGTATCAAGCGAAGTGTGCAGGCGCAGTACAACACGGACGTCAATTTCATCGCGTCGCAAGCGCTTGCGCGTAGTCAGCGGAGACCGGAGGACTCGGGCGATGCCGAGGTGGACGATGCCATGGCGGCACTTGAGCGACAAGCAAGAGCACCAGCCGGGTTTGTGGCTGCCAGCGACGCTACCAAAATGAACAGCACTTTGGAAGCGCCGCCAGCGCCGGCGAACCCGGATGCTATCGACATTGACGACCTTGACGAGTAACATGTATCAATTTCTCCGGCCTGGCGGTGGTTGGCTGGTTTTAGGTAATAGCATACAGACAGCAGGACCCCTAGAATACTTTTCCGTTCCCCGGTCCTTCCATTCAATCCAGTTCATTCCCCAATGTTCTCCCGTCCATAATATGGCTGATTTGTTCCACAGCATCGCATGTAGTGGTCTGGCTAGGCGTCCTACTCCATGCAGCGAGCGTGAAAGCGTTTCCCATACCACGCCGTACGTCTGCATGAGACATCAGTGTATCAGTGACTACTTCGCGGGCGTCTTGGTATAACCCTTCTCTGTGTGCTTCTCATGGAACCCCGAGGCGTAATTGCGGTCGACATGGCCATCACGGGAACCCGGTGTGGCGTAGATGGAACCCTTGCGCTTTTGGAAGCGGCTTGGGGGGACCTTGGATGCGTCTAGTAAATGAAGCACATCAGTCAGTATCCAAAGGGCTCGCAGACTTCAAAGGACACTGCCAGGACTCACCCCACTCGTCAGTGCTAGCTCTTCGATCTGTGGGCGAGGATGACAGTGCAACGGCGGGTTCTCCGTCGAGTGCGACTGGCGAGCTGCCGACCTCGGTCGGGATGCTCTGGGTTCTATCTTGTTCGTCTGATACGGCGTGTAAGCGAGATTCACATGCGCGGCACATGGACGGGGACGCCTACTTGACATGGTGATGGTTGATAGACTGGATGGTGTGAGTACGGTTTGCTCAGTGACGGGTCTTACAAAGACTTTAGAAGATGAGTTGTGTAGGGTGGTGGCTGATGAAGACGTTGTTTGAGGGTATCGTGGTGTCGCTGGTTAGGTGGGCGAGTGGAGAAGTTGAACAAAGGAGTGGGAAAGGGAATTTGGGAGGGGGACAGACGTGAGTTTATGAAGGTCCAGGCCTCGCGATTGCTTTCTGAACAGCAGCCCACGGTTGGGTAGCATGGATGAGTCGTGGAGGGTGGGTGCTACTGATGGCATTGGAGGGCAAGGTGAGGGAGGAGCAGAGGCAAGGTAGCTAATAAAGCTGGCGGGCGTTGATGTCAACGAAGGCGGAGGCGATGCATGTACTGTACGATGGGGGGTGTACGAAGAGAGCACATTGAGGTCAAAGTAAGGTAGGTTCGGACCAGGACTCACTCAAGGGTGGTCACCTGCCAGTTGCACACTATTGATCTCCAGGCCTCCAATTTGTTCATTGAGGGAGGTATGAGTTCACTTTATCCTACCTGAGAAGCGAAGGCGCTTTGGCTTAATGAACCTGTCGATCATCTACGTGCTAAGGTTGAGGCTGGGTCGACGTGTGATGAATATCACTGAGTTGAGTGCACCCGAGCCAAGCTTTCGAGGGCCTTTGCACACACAGATCTATGTGCCAAGACCACCACGGCTGCAGCGAGAGAGAACCTGAACAGAGCCAAGCACTCACATAGTAAGGCAGGTATCAGCATACATGAGGGTGGCCATAAAATACATCATGTAGCAGTCCACACAATGTAGGCAGGGAGATGTGTCATGTTGCCTACTGCAGCTCACCTCACTTACCTGATGTTAAGAGTTCATTTGACTGAACTGGCTTGGTGGCTAACAGCGACATGCCTCAAGACGAGGGTGTTCATCTCTCACAGTACATGGAAGGTTAAGGTAGGTCTACGGCATCCTCAAACGAAGGGTGCTCTGACGGGTGAAGCAGGAGAGCTAGATTCGACCGCATCTCAGCTTGAGCCAACGCGACAGCGGGAGGCGACACTTTTAGGAAGGTCGTCAAGGTTTCTTGTATCTGAAAGTACTCGAGCAGGTGCATGGTACATTCTCCATTCCCTCTGTTAACGCGGGGAAGGTGACGAGGATCTGCCATCGCCGTTGACGTCACACGCCTTTCGCGGCGAATGAACGGAGGCCGCGACCACCCCTAGAGCTACCTGCTCACCACCCATACTCTGTGTTAGTGCCTTCGCAGCTTTGCTTAAGCAAGGGAAAGTACTGCTTAGGTAGTGGTAGTGCGCAAGTATACCTCACTCTACGTACCAACGATATTTTGGACTGTTCTTTCCTTACCTTACCTCACTTTACTCTATGCCGACACAGGCCTCCAATCACCAGCCACATAGTTCAACCAGCAATTCGGGAACTGCGGGGAAATTCCAGTGTTTCCCTTTTTGGATTCCCCTCTCTCTTCAAAACCCTCTCCTTCCCCGGCTCCCATGACCAGGAACCCTAGACTTCGACACGTGCAATGCTTGGGCGATCTGGCGCCCCATAGATAACATCTTGAGATCAAAGGCCTTGGCCTGAGATACGGTCAACAAGGATGTCCTCAACATGAAGATGGTCTCCACAGGAGCAATACTCACAAGACCAGGACATCATACTTCGTCTTTTTGATCAATATTTTATCACCGGAGGAAACCGCTATCAAGAGTGTGTGCCGTTGATTTGATTTGAGTTATTCTACTGGTATTGTCCCGCTCCCTCGCTGTTCTCGCTGTCGTTCTGCCTGAGCTCTCCATCGATTTTCTACAGCAATGTTGTTGTATTTCTCTTTAAGTATCTCTCCCACTTGGTAATACCTCAGTACATGTGGCAAGTGAATCTTTTTCGCACGTAAACTCTCATTCTCAATCTCGGCCGCACACAATATTCTCTTGCTTGGCACATCTTTTTATAAATGAACAAGGATCTCAACACCGACACAAACACCTTCACATCAGTTAAACAAATTTACATCAAAGTGGACCATAGTGATCAGCAGCCAGAGAATGTAATTGTGTACTATGGGTGTCAAGACACAGTCAGGCACCTCAGATACAAGTGAAAGGCATCAGCATCAGCATCAGTTAACAGCCTCTCTTCATCGCCTACCCATCCTGCCTCCACGGATCTCTCTTTTGACCCTCATGGTAATCCCAAACTCTCTCAGAAAACATAGGCGTTTAGATCTCCTCGCCGTCGGCGCGAAGCTCAGCCAGGTAGGCGGCGTCGTCCTCGGGTGCGGCCGAGGGGGTCTGAGCACGCTTGATCATCTTGTTGAGGAGCTCATCGGAGCGCTTGACGGCGAGCATCAAGTTGCGGCGGGCAGCGGCGGGCGTGGTGGTGCCAGCCATCTGGACAGGAACGATACCGCCGAAGGGGCCGGCGCGGGCAGCGTTCTGGCAACGGACCAAGCAGACATTGCTCTGGCCAGCGACGGTACCAGTGCAAGTCTGGTCGGCGGGGATAGCAGCCTTGAGAGGGAAGTCGGTCATGGCTCCGTCACGGTTGCGGGAGTTCTGGCCCGGGGGAGTGGTGACGACGTTGATGTTGGTCCACGACGCTCCGGTAGCATCGGCGTTGATCATGCAGTCGTAGGGGCCTTTTCGCGTGTGAGTCAAGCACCAAAGAAAAGGAATTTTCATGTCGAATACTCACCACCACCGTCACCGTTGACCTGGTGCAGGGTCATGTCGACGGAACCGCCGGCGGAGATCTGGGGAAGCATGGTGCCGGTCTCGGCCATCATGGCCTTAGTACCGGTCTCAAGGTTGTTGGTGCCGGCTCCGACAGTCTCGCCGAAGGTATCCGCAGCCTCGCCCTTGAAGCGAGTGCTGTCAGCCTGGAAGGGATCACGACGTGTTCCATCACGGGGGGTGCTGGAGTCGATTCCAAGGGCCATGCCCTGTCCACCGGCATCACCAGTGGCGCCGATGATGGCAGCGTGGCCGGCAACAATGTCGGCAGTGGCCAAAAGGCCGATGGCGAAGATGCTCTTGATGGAAGACATTGTGATGTGAGAGAAGGTAAGTCCTGGCCGGCAGGGATATATTATACAATACAAATGATTGGAAGGAGAGAAGTGGTCAGATAACTAAAAGACTGCTGAATGCTGGATGGGGAAGAAGAACACGAGAGGGTTGAGGCCGGAGTTAGATCATCTTTATAGCTTGGCTGTCAGCACCCCTTTGAGAGCAACCAACCGGTAAATGGATGTATGTCTGATGTCTGGACGACGCGCATGTCCTGCATCCCAATGCCCTTACGCGCCTTAGTGAGCATCCGGAGTGCTTCTCCCGCCTTCTCCTCTGATACTCTGAGGACGCAGGTCGAATTTCCATCCGACATCCTAAACCGCCAAGCCAAACATGTTTTCGCAATAGAGCCTCAAAGCGAGATCCTGGGGGGTATCACTACAGCTAAAGGAGCGTGCACATGCACAGAAATGCCTTCTACGCGCGGCTGTTGTTGCTCGCTTGAAGTTGTATCCACAAAGTCGGGCTGTGGCGAGGCCACGAGCAGAGCCTCATGCGAACCTCGGGCCAGGGGCGTGTGCAACATGAGGCCACCATAGCAGGGATGGCCGCAAGGTTCCGGAGTTGGTGTGGCCGAATGTCAGCTGGAAAAGTCCGAGCCCGCGACCTTATTTCGACCCAGCTTAGATGCACCAGTGTTGAAGGGGGTTAACGAGTGCATGATGATCGTATGCACCATCCACTACCTTAGCTCAAGCTACGAACGACAGGAGTGCCATACGTAAGAGGTTGACCTGGATTTCTACAGTCCATGTGGTTCTTGTCGGTCAGATGCAGGCAGTAGCTCGACGTGACAGAGAACGGTTTTCAACCCATCCAGGACAAGACAGCAAAGACTGATGTTGTGAGTGCGCATTGCAGCCAGACCGTTGATGCAAGCCCCTCGACATCTCTTGAGCGAAATCGACTACAGAGTAGGCCCACGACTCGGCGAGTCACAAAATACATGACCTAGCTCAATACTGCTGCTGAGTTACATCAAAATTAAACAATACCAACATGATCCTGACAGGGATCTTGCCGGCCTTGTTTCCGTTTCTAAAGATCAAGACAAGCGTGGGAATTGCGGCGGCCCGGCCAGCTCAGGGCGAGGTGCTATATAAGGTGACACGGCAACTAGGGGGAAGGCTGGGGTATTCAGGCCTGTAGAGATATACCTGGCAAGCAAAGACCATGCCGCGTGCGTGTTTGATGCGGAGATGGACGGCTGTTTCGATCCATGGCGCGGGAGCGTCCAAACCGGATCCAGATCACAGGGGTACGACGTGATTGTCGCATGGGGGGAATGCAAGAACAAGACCGGGAGTTGGCAGCCCAATTGGATTGAACGTACAGTCAACTACGAACGCACGTGCAGAGGTGATCTACCGCCGTGGCGTGGATAACCCTGAGTAAACACACGTAAGCTAGCATAGCAGACGCATTAGTAAGTAGACAGTGTAGATGAAGGAAGACGCTGTCGATCAACGTTGCAAAGTGTGCAGACGGATCAAACCGCTGCCGCCAACAACGGGCGAGAATCACGCACGCACAGATGGTCAGCAAGGCAGTACGAATTCGAGCAACTCGTTCTCTGCGTAAGCCAGTCGGGTCGAGCCGAGTCAAGTCAAGGTTGAATATGAACCGCGCACAGGTCCAACGGCTGGCAAACCGGCAAATCGTGCAGCCGAGGGTAGGACACGCGGTAGAACCGGTTGTTATACGCGAGAATCCACTGTGCCCTGTGCTGCGGAGTGCCGTAGCGCGGTTCAATACTAGTCAAAGCTATGGCAAGGAACGATGACCTTATAGCCTCTCAACGCTCAACATGACGCAGGGTTCCCGGAGGGCACCGAGCATTGAGTAGCGGCCACCAAGGCAGAGGAATGGATGCCAAAAGAGAGGCTACTGTGGATTATGGCGGGCGTCGAGACCTGAACATGCTATTTCTGTCCTGACATCTTTCAGTCTTTGAGTCATAGCCATGAGGCCTGCTTATCGCACTCAGGGGAAAAGAAACAAGGAGGTTGTAGTCGTTCCATGTAAATGATAAGGAGAAGTGATGAGTGCTTTCTTGCAGTGCATGCTGAGACTAAGTGGCCAGTGGCTAGCAGTAGCCATGCTGAACGAGGTCATTTGCGCACAATGGTGGCTACCGCATGCAGCATGTCGATGCGGGAGCATACCATACGTGCATAGAGGCAGCTTTAAATCCTTTGCAGTTGGATTCGTATACGATAGGCTGGAGTTCTATGAAGACAACTCCTGCCTGAGACGTGTCAGCGACATGCCACGAGGTAGAAACGGGCTTGGTGATCTTACCGGGCCTCACAGAAAAGGTAGCCGTTGGAGCTAGAAATGCCGCGAATTACTGACAATGAGATGAAGTCTGGAATGAGCCTTTGCCACTTGCATATGCTGCCAGCACGCACCGACCAACGGACGAGATGCTTTCAAGGATTGAAGCCGCTGACGAGTCAACAAGGTCGCAGTTCAGTGTATCCGTACTTTCGAAAGATGAGTAACGGGTAAACGTAGCAGGGTACCAGGCAAGGCGGGTAGTTGCCAAGAGCGGCGAACCTAGTGAGACAGGCATCGTTTGGAACAGGTGCCGTGGGCTGCGCACCGATGTTGTGTGAAACGAAGTTGTCAAACCCCAAGGTTGCGGGGCCAATCGCATGGACCTTTCCCCTTGTGTGTCGCAGAGCTATGGAATCGATCCCGTTGGCCTTTGCTCATGAGAGGGAGAGAGAGAGAGGAGACAAAACTGCCTCGGATCGACCCGCCAGCCGGTGACAACCACGGTGTGATGCATTATCCTCGTGAGCCAACCTAAAGGGCATACAGTAACTTGTAAGATAGTGGTAGTGCGTGCCAGCGGCTGATCAAACAGAATGGAAGAGTACCTTAATCAAGGTTAAAGATGGACGGGAACGTGGCGGGCGGAAGCTAAGCCAATCTTGGCCAACCCACTGCCACGATCATGCAATCCCCTGGGGAAAATCCCCCAACTGGTCAAGCAGGAAGAAGTCTGGATTTGCTCCTGACAAGGTATGGCGAGAGATGGACTTCCATCGCGGTCTCCCAGCCTTTAGTGGGATTCAGGTCCGCTAGACTAGACGTCGTATCGCTAAATGACGGTCGTCTGTTTGGGGCTGAAGCTGACGGTGTGTTTTGGACAAGAGGCTCTCAACACCCCATAAGCACTGGACGGTATTCGTAGTAACAATGCCCAACCACCCTCGTGGCTATGCTTTGACAGAAGGGCAGTGATGTGGAAAACTTGGTCTTGCAACCAGTTGGGCATTCCGTAACCCCATCTCTGTCCGCGCGAGCCTTATCCCTGGACGAATCAGATGACACGGGAAGTTTAGTATAGCAATAGACAAAGATAGGTTGGTCAAGTAAGGTAAGGTTGTAAGGTAAAGTGAAGAAAGGCCCACTTGAGTTCAACACTCACGTACATTTTGAAACGACGTCAACTCAGACTCGGTGCATTACATAAGCACACCCCCAAAAAGCTCCTTACGTAAACACATTTATGGAGTCATGGTAACTCAGGTACCTTAGGGTAGCAAGGCACTTCCATTGCCTGCGTGCTGTGTGCTGCGTGCTACGTGCCCGCCTCAACGAAGACCCATTGTCTAACACCACTGCCTACCAGAGCCAGATTTTTGCCGGTGCACGGCACACTTATTATTTCCCTTCCTCTTTTTACTGTCTGTCATCTTTGGCGAATTCAGAGCAGACCTTTGGTCAGTTGGCCCAATTGCAGGGCCTCGGCTGACTACCTAGATACCCGCGGCAAGTTGTGAGTCAAAATCCAAAGGACTCCCATCTCTGGCTTATATGAGCACATTGTACATACTCCTTCAAGATGAGCTTGTAATCCAAGCCAAGCTCTTAATCACATTCACATCATTTGTCCCTGATAATCCATTTCTCGACACCAAATCCCGGCTCTCTTGCTTTGACTCATTCTTCTTCACTCTACTCATCTCAACTTGTCGCGACCTGTCTCATCTCATCGCCCTGACGCCTTGCCCTAACCTTACCATCCATCAGCTAACCGCGCACCAGCCACTCGTATCGCTTTTCATCTTGAGCTCACCGTTACCTCAAACCCCAGCGCGGTCTTGCATCTTGAGCCGTATCCACAACACCAATCCACCATTCATCAACTTCGCTTGACGATCCTGGGACCCAGGCTGCTCGCCTCAAGGCCTGTGCCGCGCCCTTTCCATACCTCATGCAACCGCGCTTGTGCTTGCGCCTCCGCCTCCATCACCATTGCTACCACCACCACTACCCTAGCTAGTTAAGCTAGAGCTGCTTCTGGAGTGAGACCAGAAGGACTCTATCTCGAAACTCAAGGATCACGGCCCGTGGTCTAACGTGGCGCACGCTCTACCCCTCGACTTTCTGCACTGGCGCATCTGCCGACTCGACACCTTCCAACTGTCAGGCTTGTCGTGTCATGCTACGTGCCTGTGCTCGACCTCGATCTGTCTTGACCTGGAACCGCTGCTCGGTGCCGCGCGCATCCTTGTACCCTTACCTCATGAAGAGAAACTTTGACGCGTTTGTGGGTCGCCCGTCTGCCTCTTCGCCGTCCAAGATGACAACCTCCGTTGCCGCCTCGTCTATGAGCAACTCCACCACTGCAAATGATCCCCCGACACTCATTCTTACTCCCAAAGAGCAGCAATTGAGGGATCTTTTGGTTGACGTTGCTGCCTTTATCGATGGAGCTGGTCGTTCACCCGAGCCTCTCGTCCTTCGATGGGCTGGGGGCTGGGTTCGTGATAAACTTCTCGGCATAGAGTCTCACGATATTGATACCGCCATCAATGCCATGACTGGCTATGCCTTTAGTCTGGAGCTGCGCGACTATTGTGCTCTAGAAGTGTATACAAAGAAGCACAGCATAGGTCCCGATGATATGGGCAGCCTCCACAGGATTGCTGCGAATCCCGATAAGTCGAAGCATCTCGAGACAGCGACTACGCGTATGTTTGGTCTGGACGTTGACTTTGTCAATTTGCGCAAGGAGACGTACACCCAGGACAGTCGCAACCCTACAATGGAGTTTGGCACAGCCGAGGAAGATGCCCTACGCCGCGATGCCACCATCAACGCACTCTTTTACAATTTGCACACCGGCCTGGTCGAAGATCTGACCGGAGGACTCACAGACATGAAGTCTCGCCTGATACGTACACCCATGGAGCCTTTCCAGACCTTTACAGACGATCCCCTCAGAGTCCTGAGGTTGCTCCGCTTCGCCAGTCGTCTTGACTTTTCAATTGACCCTGCTGCCACTGCAGTCATGGCCGACCCTCAAGTTTTGGACGCTCTGAAACTCAAAATTAGCCGCGAGAGGGTTGGTGTCGAGATGGAAAAGATGCTGAAGGGTTCGTCTGCCCATGCTTATCTTTCTTGATATGCGAATCCGGTGAACTGACTTTTTTGGCTTTGTCCTGGAGCAGGTAAGAACCCACGGATGTCTCTGGACCTGATTCGAACTCTCAACCTGTACGAGGCTATCTTCACGGATTCCAGCGATAGCGATCACCCGTCACCAGATCTCTCCAAGTGGAAATTGGCCTACGATGTCCTTGACGGGCTCGCTCATGACAAGGTCCCGAGATTGATCTATGACGTTCTCGTCACATCCGACGAAGCTGCATACTTTGCTTGGAATTTAGCTGCAATTACCCCATACTCCCACATAACGGCAGAGGTACCATTACCAAAGGCTCGGGGTACTGTGCCTCTGACCACGTTGGTTGCTCGGGAAGGCATCAAGGCCCCCAACAAGCTTTGCGATGTAATTACTGCAGCATATCGCCACCGCGCCGAGATTCTTGGTCTGAAGCGAAGCTTTGGTGCCGGGCAATCTAGGACTACCGAAAGGGGCACCGTTGGTATGGCGATTCGTAAGTGGGACAGTCACGGAGGCCACTGGCGAGTCCAGGTACTCTACGCCTTACTTGTCGAGGCTATTGAAAAGTTGCCATCTGATTCAATTGCTGGTAAGTACCCCCATCTCCGTACTCTCCGCACCTTGTGCCAGGAAAGATTACTCATTCTTCCACAGATAGAGCAGAGTTTCTCTCGGGATGGCAGAAGTTCCTAGACCACCTTGCTGATCTGGACGTCATGGACGCACCTTCGCTGACACGCCTGGTGGACGGCCGATTGCTGGGAAAAGAACTCGGTGTTCGCCCCGGTAAGTGGATGGGCCAGGCCTTAGATATTTGCGTTGCCTGGCAACTTCGTCACCCGGACGAGACTGAGCCGGCAGGGGCCATTGAAGAGGTGCGACGGCGAGCCGTTGAACTGGGGATCGAGGGGCTTCCCACATGAACCCGGCTTGACACTATGTATCGGGCGAAGACTTCAATTATTCTGGCCAGTGCTAGACGGAAATTCTACTTGACAAAGGAGTGACAGTGATGAGAGGTTGTCTCGGGGAAGGCAATATTGCCTACAGGAGACCAGCTTGAAATACCCGAATAGACCACTTGCTCGTTGAAGCTGTGGGGAGAATGCCACCAAAAGTTTTGTAACATCACGCTGTCTGAAAAGTCATATTTTCCGTCTCTTTCTCCCGTTTTCAATGTGGCGGTTCTCTGTTGCCCGACTGACTGCCTACACTCGATCCGAGAACGTTGGAGAAGCCTGCACAGTATGTTACAGTGTTTCAGACAGTGTACCTGCTGTATAAACTGATCCAAAATGCCCTCCAAGGGCCGCACACACCAATTCCACTCCCACTGTGCCCGCTCAATCCTGTTGCTTAGAATCAGGGAGACACTTGCTTCCCTCAACGGTTAACCACCTACTTTACTCAGGCAGGCAAAGAGGTCAAACGTCTGATTCCTTCCATTCTCTCAGCTTTCTCAGAAATAAACCTGTCATACAATCCGCAGACAAGTAAACACACCCGCATCGAGGGCTCTGTTCCACCTCAACCGTTCACGTTCATTTGGTCTCACAGTTGCCCGCAATGCTCTCCGACGTAGTCGAGGCCCTGCAACGAGCTACGTCCAGCTCTCTTGAATTCAACGTCGATACAGGTTTGCATTTTCCCCGCGACCAAAGCAGTGCTTCATTAGACTTTGGAAGCTGACATGAGCCACAGATCTGCCAAAACGATACACTCTCACAGACCTTGCGCAAGACTTACCGGAGGTCGAGCATTTGGTGGGTTCGGCCTACTCATCCATCTAATCCGTCTTACAGGGTTACGCATTAACACCGCCAACAGCCACAAATACCCACTCTCAGCGCTCTTTCACTCTGTCTCAGAAGTGTCGACCGCATCGACCAAGTGTCTCAAGATCACGAGTCTATCGCACAGCTTTCTAACCATGCACTGGGATTACTGAGCAACTCTTCTGGTTCGCTGTCGAACACCAACCCAGCTCTAGCCGAACAGGCGTTGGATGTCTTGAGAAGTCTTGTCGTCAGATTTTCTCCGTCGCTTGACGACCAAGATCTCATTGTCATCGCTGCATACACCGACCGCAAGAGAACTTGGACGACCGTCAATGCAGAGCTTTATGCTAGAGAGATCCTGAAGCGTTCCTTGGACGATGTTCGAAAGCAGGCGTTTATCACATCGGTAGTGCTGGAGGGCTTTATTCGACCCATCTTCTCCCGAACAAGCTCTAGTCGCATCACTTCCACCGGCAGGAAAGCTCATTTTGCCGACGATAGCCAGGACCGCTTTACTGCTGGCTCTATCGCTGATACCGATGACGCGAAACCTTGGAAAACCACTCAAGCTCATGCCATTACGGTGTTTTCCTGGGTTGTGGAACATTCCAATGTTGGTCACACTTCCGATATCGAGTAGTCATGATCCTGCAATGGACGGCTAACCATTAATCGACAGGATGCGCTTGTTGAAAAAAGCTGGCCATTATTCACCCCAGTCCTCCTCGCTCTCCTAGACGATACAGACACAGAGTATAAAGCAAGGGGTCTGGCTATTCTAGGCGACTTTCTCGTCAAATGCCCAGGCAAGGTCCTCGTTCAAACCGGCCTGGGTGACATCTTTGAACAATCCGTCTTCCCCTCTCTACTATCCCTGCCAAGTCTGACGCCCGAGAAAGAGTCCCTTCTGCTACTTGATCCAGCATATAATGCAATCATCCAGCTTGCCAAAACCCAGTTTTCTGGAGAAGAGGACAGAGACAAAAAGAACGGAGTTCTTACTCGTTTGCTTAGGGAAGGAGTTTTTACGGGCTACTGGCAAGCGTCCGACTATGTTGGAATTGTACAACTACTTGCTCGGCAAACGACCTCTATCGTCAACGAACTCGGCTTTCTTGCCACGGCACATTTGAAGGTAACTTCGCATGTCTCCATCGTGATAGCTCGAATGCTAAGTCTTAAGTAGGAGCTCCTGTCCATGGTTTCTGCAATCATGACGGACCCCTTCCTCGCTTCTCATCCTAGCAGCATACAAGCGGCCGCGCAGGCATTCGGTGCCATAATGGTGAATTGCTGGCCGAGAATTTCAGACAAAACACATGCAGGCGAAGTGCTTAGATCCATCAGCGTTTGCTGGTTGAATATGCACGCTGAACATAGGAGCGGGCAGGGGAATGCAGCGATCAAAGAAGCTTTAGCTGAAGTCTCCAAACTTGCGCCCATATTGCGCGCCATCTTTGCAGCGGCCGATCTGCCTCTAAAGCCTTACGTATCGGCATTGCTAGCTGCGGAGCCTAGGCTCGGAGACTTATTTGAAGACCAGGGGGATGGAGTGGTGGTATTAGGTGAAGAGAATAGCGGAGGTGACCTCAATCAAGTGGCTGCTGCTTGAAGAACGACTTGCCCCGAAGCCATTTCCTATAGGCCTTGTATCGCTTCTTCTGAGCATCTTCCTCGGTGACGGTAAGAGGATTGCTGCCAACCTTGAGGAGCTCCGCGTATACAGCAATATCCTCCTCAGTGCCTACAGGCGTTATTGCGTCACTTTGCTCACTGCTCTGGACATAGTGCTGGTACTCGGATTGGTTTTCTGCCTGGATCGTCTCGGCAGACACTACCAGCGGCAGGTTTTGGGGATGGCTGATGTACCGCTCATAGTCCTCGGCCTCTTGCTGGCTGACAGATGGATTAAGGGACTCACTAACGGCCTTCGTGAAGGTCCACTGAGCCGCTTTAGTCTTCTCCTGGGCCGTGGGCTTGATCTTTGACGGATCTTGGGGTTCTGCATGGGTCTCTTTCATGATTCCATGGTGTCCAGTCACTCTGTCTTGCATTGGCTGCAGCCAGCGGTGGATGGAAATCCCCTTCCCACCTGCCGTACGGTCTGACATGACCGATGCAGCGTCAATGTCCCGAGGGGACTTCAAGTCTTGCGGATCGACGATTGTCACCTCTTTCTTGGGCTTCTTCTTCTCGTGGGCGTCCATATCCGTCTCGTTGCGAACCCGGAAAGGACTCAGGTCATACCGTCCATCTTGCGTGGATTTGAAGGGTATGTACTTGATGGTTGAGTTCATTTTGTAGGGAAACATTTTCAGAAATGACGAGAGTGTGGATGGGCGATAGTATTCAACCCAGTAATCATCGAAATGAGACACTGGCTTGTTCTTTGCTTCGCCTGGGGGTGGCATGTAAGGCGGAAAACTTCTTTCCTGCAAGTTGTCTGCAGTATACCAATTGATGTAGTTTCGCTTCGTCTTTTCGGACCAAGCTCGCGGGTCCGCATGATGAAGGTAGTAGTCAGTCGCAAGGTCCCATAGCATTGGCTGCCCTTGAGCAAATATGTAGTTGCCGAGGAAGAGGTTGTACGCCTCTTGGCGTTGCCCATCTAGGAAAGAGTTGTTGTAATACCTCTTGAAGCTCTCAATCATGTCGCGAGAGTGACTCGTCCACTGATTGATCTTGCGGTATGTCTCCATGGTATTGACAAGCTGGGAGCCGCCATATTGCACAGCAATAGTGTCACCGTGATCGTGATACATGTGGGTGAAAAGATTAACGGCGTCTGTGTCGTAGTTGATGGAGGTGTCTTCGAGAATGCCGAGTGCATGAAGCTGGTGGCCTAGGGCCCTCTTTCCAATAACGAATTGTGCGGCGTTGGTTCGGTCAAGACAGTCTATACAGTTGGTTCGGGCCACGCCGTTTTGAACGCTGGTAGGGTACACCTTGCCGTCGCCATCGTGGAAGAATCCGGTTGTGGTGACGACATCCTCGGCAATGCGCTCCAGTGTACCTATAACGTCCTGGTCACGACTCTTCGCCGCTCGGCTCATGTCCCACGCCTTGTGAATGATTTTGCGACCTTCTGGTAAGAACTGGTTCAGGTAGTTGATTGCATTTGTATACTCCAGTAGTAGTTTGGATTCTCGCGGCGTCCGTTCCCTCGCTTTGACGAGATTCAGCACGTAAATGGGAGCGCCGTAGCGCTCGAAAAGGTTATCGAAATGAAGAGCGGCGGCACTGTAGAATGGATCTACGAGGTTTAACTCGATAGGGGGTTTTGGTGTCACGCCCGTGTTATCCTGTGTCCAATACAGGGGAATGCTTCCCCGGTGCTGAACATAGGAGGTGTACTGCGGGCTGGAGAATAACCTGTGTCCTGGGGCATGGAACGAAGTTGTCAGGGCTTCTGAAACTACTTGCTCCGTCTCGACATCGTTTGCAACGTAACCCTGTCCGCAACGCGTCAGCCGTATTGTTTCTTGCATACTAGTTGGGCAAACTCACGAGGTCGTTGGCCCCTCGTTTGAGAAACCTTGCACCAGCAAAGAAACGAGATCGCCGAGCAATGATAGTAATATACGCAGTGCGCCCGTAGATCGATAAGGCTATGAAACGCAGTTAGGTAGATGTCCAGTTGGTTTATTAGTGTCATTTGTCAGTACTCACCAGCTTGGTCAATATAGCCGTGGATGATGGGATGGCACCAGTCGAAGGGATCCTTCAGTGCTTTCATGGCCGGTTGCAGCAGATGGCTGTTCCAAACAAACATGCCATTAAAGTCATCCATAGTCCCTGGAAGCCCACGCGCAAGCGCTTCGCGCTCCCTCGTCAGGTTATGCTGAAGTGTACGTGTGATGTCGTACGAATAGCTGTAATAGAACGACCTGGTGAGATCTAGGTTGTTCAGTATGCCCAAGAATCGGGACTCTTCGGTATTGCGCACGTCGGCCTTGAATCGATTTGGCGTCAGCGGCACCAGCTCGGTACCATCGACTTGGTAGATATAGTGTCCCCCAATCATGGCCACTGTGCTCTTTTTCGTGATGAGGAGCATGTAGTAGGGTCCAGTGAACTTGATGAAACCCAGCAAGCCCCAAGCAGTACATCGCAGCTTGATGCCACCCGTGCCTTTGTTGCCATCGTCGATCGTATCCAACAGCTGATTCATCTCCTTTTGACTATAGATGATCTTGTCGTCCGTAATGCTGAGCTCCGAGTCGTCGGTTGTTCTCTCAATCTTGAGAATGCGGTACCGCTTCTCCGTCACGTCTCCCCCAACAATGTAGTACCGCGTGGCAGTCTCATACAGGCTGAATTTATGCATCTTGTGATCGAGGCGATCGGGACCCTTTTCATCGTAGACGTCCGCGGCCCGGGCTGCAGAGTCAGGACTTGACGTTCTGACAAAGGGCTTTGCGACCGCGGGTTCTTCATCGACGTCATCTTCGCCGGCACGGTTTTGCATCGCAGCATCGGAGGATAGAGCCTTCGCAGTTTCGTCGTTGTTGAGAAGTGGAAATACTGGTGAAAGATCTCGGCCGGATTTACCCTTGTCAGCGTCGCCGGTGAAGGGCATGGGAGGGTTCGAATCGCGGGATGCCGATCTTGCGGCCATCTTGACATGAGTTGCGCATCCCTATCAGGGACTGTAATGGGCAAGTTGCCTGTTCGTCGGGAGGGCGTAGACGGCGATACGGAGAATCGGGGTTGCTTAGAGGGCTTGATTTCCAGGCGAGTTCGAAGCGACGTGACGTCACAGAAGCCAAACAGGACACCACTTACAGACACATTACAAGAAATTATTAACTTTAATACTTTATTTAATATACTAGTATATACTATTAAAAAATAAATTATATATACATATAGACTTATATAAAGTAATCTTTTATATATATATATATATAGTATATAGTAGTTTTGTTATAGCTTTATAAATATAAAAGATCGATTTTAATAAAATTAAGTTTTTAAAAGAAATTATATAATATAATATACTTTTTAATTTTATAATATATATAATATACCCTAAGTACGCGCTTAATTTAATATAATAATTTTAATATAAAAACTGCTATATAATTTATAATAAATAAACTATTATCTTTTTAAAGTCTAGCTTACTTTATTAGGGGCTATCTTTACCTTTATAAATAAATTAATTTATTAAAATAAATATCGTATATTATTATATAATAAACTTTAAAACTAACTATAGCCGGCCGTAGCTATTGTTAATTTAAACTATTATTAACGACGTAATATATTAATCACTTTCCCCCCGATAGAGTAATCCGCCGGGGCCGTACTATATATTATATATTAAAGAAAACTAAGTATATTATACTCTAAGCTTAACTACTAATTAAAATAGTTAACTAACTTAACTATTTTCTCTCTTTTATTATAGGGTAAGCTTTATTTATTTTAACGTATATAAAGCCTTTTAATACTAGCCTATATAAATAGCTAGGTTTAATATATAGTAGTTTTTTTCTAGCTTTATAAATATAAAAAATCGACCTTAACGGGATTGAGCTTTTAAAAAAATTATATAATATAGTATACTTTTTAATTATATAATATATGTAATATACTCTAAATACGTATTTAATTTAATATAGTAATTTTAATATAAAAACCGCTATATAATTTAAGATAAGTAAGTTACCTTTTTTAGCTATTTATTAATAATAAGCTAAGTAATATACTTATATAATAGCGGTAGCTAAAAAAGTTAATTATAAAGGTCGGCTATAAAGGTTAAAGGCGGCCTTTTTTAACTATAGAGGTTCTAAGTTTTAATAGCAATATAGAGTTTTTTTTTTTTTTTTAAAAAAAGGGCTAAAAAGGCTAATATTTAGCTATTTAAAGCTAATAAAGATTTTTTTATTTTTATTACTTTATATATTATTTATAAACTTCTCTTTATTTAAACTAAATAAACTATTAAATAAACCTATTAAACGAATTTATTAATATATAAACTATTAATATATTAACAAGAACCTACTTTACTAATAATACCCCTCTATAAATCTACCCCCCTCGGACTAGGCCCCTTTTTTAGCTAGCTTAACGCTATAGCTAATATAATTAATATAAATATATTTAATAAATAATAAAATACTTTTTAATAATATAAAACTTAATTAAATAATGGTATAAACGTTATAAATAGCTAGGCTAGTATTAATATTAAAATTTAATATATTAATACTAGCCTAGTTATAATAATTATAATAAGCGGACTAAAAATATATAAAGTTAAAGTAATAAATTAGTACTTAAAACGGCTTTTATAAGCCCCCCTAAGTAATAATAATATTTATATAAAAAAAAGATTATATTAAAACTAGTTATTTATATAGGCTAATATTGAAAGGCTTTATATAGTGGTTTTTTTCTAGCTTTATAGGTATAAAAGATCGACCTTAATAGGATTAGGCTTTTAAAAGAAATTATATAATATAGTATACTTTTTAATTATATAATACGCACAATATACTCTAAATATGCGCTTAACTTAGTATAGTAATTTTAATATAAAAACCGCTATATAATTTAGGATAAGTAAACTACTTTATTTATTACGTAGCGGCGGTAATTAAAAAGGTTAATTATAAAGGTCGGTTATAAAAGTCGGCCGTAAAGGTCGGAGGCGGCTTTTTTTAATTATAAAGGTTCTAAACTTTAATAATAACGTAGAGGTTTTTAAAGAAAGGGCTAAAAGGGCTAATATTTAGCTACTTATACTAGAGCTCGTAAAGATTCTTTTTATCTTTATTACTTTTTATATTATTTATAAGCTTCTCTCTATTTAAACTAAATAAACTACTAAATAAACCTATTAAACGAACCTATTAATATATAAACTACTAGCTAGGTAACTAGTTAGATAACTAGTCGGAACTAGCTAAGAGTCCGGCTAGTTAAACTATATCGACGAGAATTTAACAATGCCCCTCGATAAGTCTGCCCCCCTTAGACTAGGCCCCTTTTTTAACTAGCTCGACGCCGTAGCTATTATAATTAACGTAAATATATTTAAAAAGTAGCGAAGTACTTTTTAATAATATAGAATTTAGTTAAGTAATAGTACGAACGTTATAAATAGCCGGGCTAATATTAATATTAAAATTTAATATATTAACGCTAACCTAGCTATAATAGCCGAGATAGGCGGGTTAGAAATATATAGGGTTAGGGCGATAAGCTAGTACTTAAAATAGCTCTTATAAGCCCCCCCGGGTAACGATAATATTTATATAAAAAAAGAGATTATACTAGACCTGGCTGCCTATGCGGGCTAGTATTAGGAGGTCTTGTGTGCGTTAAAGTAGGTGAAGCTCGCCCTCTAGACGGCTGGAAGCGGCGGAAGGTCGGGAGCTGTTAATAAAAGGAGAAAATGGTCGAGTCGGTTGACTGCTGTTTTGGTTAGTAGTTAGGTTTAGAGCGCAATATACTTAGTTTTCCCCAATACGTAATACACGGTACGGCCCCGGCGGATTGCTCCGTCGGGGGGTTAAAAGGCTTTATATATATTAAAATAAATAAAGTTTACTTTTTAAATAGCTAGAAATAATAAAAGGTCGAGAGCTATTAATAAAAAGAGAAAATAGTTAAATAAGTTAATTTTAATTAATAATTAGGTTTAGAGCGCAATATACTAAGTTTTCTTTAATATATAATATATAGTACGGCCCTAGTAAATTACTCTATCGGGAGGATAATATATCTATATAGTAAGTAACGTATTATAGCAAGCGACGCACGTCCTTTTAGTTTTACCCTTTTTATTTTTAAAATACTTTTTCTCTATATATAACGAAATAATTCTTTTTAATTAAAAGCCGAATTATCTTTACTTTCTAAACTATTTAAAAAATATTTAAAAATATCTATATAAAGAGCTATTTTAATTTTTAAAGTTCTTAAATTAACCTTTTATTATTAATATACTAAATACATTATATAAAATAAAAAATTATTAAATTTAAAAAATATAATTATAATAAAAGAGGACGTAATTTTTAAATAAGTTATTAATTTAATTAATTAAGAGTTCTTTTTATAATAAAAAGATATATAAGAAATAGCTAATTAACTTTTGAATATATATAATAAAATAAATACTAAACTATAATAAATAGAGAACTTTATATAACTTTAATTACGTTTTAAAACGCATTTTTAATATAAAATTAATTATTAAAGGGTATTAATTAAAGATTTTATAACTATTTAGGGCTAGTTTACCCTCGTGTAAAATATAATTATAGAATATAGAATATATAATAATAATATTTATAATTTTAATAAAACGGGCTTTTTAATAAGAATACTATTATATATAAAGGTTATTATAACTTTTAATTATAAAAAAAGGCCTTATATAAAATAATTTAATAATCGAGAATAGGTTTTTATTATTTAGGGTATATATATAAATAATTAGGCGCTACCTCTATATATTATTATTAAAAATAAATATTAATTCTTTTTTTAATATATTAAAAACTAATTCATAGCTATATAATATATTTACTTTGATAAAAATAAATAGATTATAACTAAAATCGGCCTAGATTAACTAAAGTATTTTGAAAAAAATATATATAAAGTTTTATATAAAGAGTATTAAGCGGCTCTTAATTTTTAATAGTTATAAATAATATATAAGCTAGTTCTAAATAGGTAGGCTTTATATTTTTCAATTCTAAAATAGTTATTTCTCGCTTTAATTTTAAATTAAAAACGTTAATATTATTAAATTTATAGTTAAATAGCTAAGGCTCTTAAGACTTAAAAACTATTGATTATAGTACTAAAAAGTATATAAAGTATTACTTTTTATAAAAAGAAGATCTAAATATATTAAAGTAGTTTATTAATATTAATATGTAAAGTAATTAATTTTTAAGCTAAAAGTATTAATAAACTAGCTTATAAACTTATTATTATTAAAACTAAAAACTATAAGCTTTATATAAAAATAGAGGTATTAATTAAGCGCTAAAAAGTAAAAAAAACCTAGTTACGTTTTAAAAAATTAGTTAATAATATTAAAATGGAGTTATTAAAAATAGAAAAGGGTAATATTAATATTAAAAAAGAGAATGACCTTTATAAAGAGGGGTATATAAAAAGTATTGAATTATATACGTAATAATATAGTAATTATAAAAAGCTTATATATAATATATAAACTTATAAAATAGTTTAGGATAGTTATAAAAAAGAGGGCAATATATAGTTTTAATTAATTTTATATATTATAGTTAAGTTAATTTATATAAAAAGTTAAAAGGTTTAAGAGAGTGCGTCGCTCGCTATATAGGTACGTTATATTTATATTAATTATAATAGTTACGGTATTAAGCTAGCTAAAAAAGGGGCCTAGTCTAAGGGGGGTAGACTTATCGAGAGGTATTATTAGCCCGCTAATTACTAACTATATATTAGATACAAACTAATAGTTTATATATTAACAGGTTCGTTTAATAAGTTGATTTAGTAATATATTTAGTTTAAATAGAGCTTATAAATAATATAAAAAGTAAAAAAAATAAAAAAATCTTTACGAGCTCTAATATAAGTAGCTAGATATTAACC